AATATAATGGCAATGGTGGCTCATATAAACATCTTATTATTGATATCATAATTTTTATCATGTTATTAGCTCATTCAGATTTAGAGACTAATGTTGGAGATGATTGTGTATATCTTAAGTCCAGTGGGAGTAAATTCATTTTCCTATTTTATACATCATGGTTGTTCTACTTAAGGTGCAAGTAGAATATTAAACCATGAGATGTGTTGTAGCTAAGGGAGACAATTTTGGTCTCAATCAGTGCCCCAATTATATATAAGAAATTAAGATACAAAATCTCCTGAATGCATATTTGCATTAAAGATCTAATGTATACTTTAGTTTATTCTCATCCCAATAAATCATTTCTAGTAAGAGTCTTTGGCATATATTTGATTGATCTATGCGTGAAACACTAGAAGGATTCAAACGTGTAACGCGTTTACTAAAGTTGATAAAAGAATGCATGCAAACTTATTAGAGTTCAGATAATTTAGAGATCATCAAGTAGTACTCTGACTCTGATGTTGTAGGATGTCAAGATAGCAAGAACTCTTTATCAGGTTATCTTTCAGTGTTAGATAGAGTTTAAAGCATATATTGAGACTTCCCATTATGGTTGCAAAGTTTTTGTCACTAGAATGACATTGGTAAGTTATTAAAGGTTAATAGTGACAATAATTTGATAGTGATACACTATCATTACCATGGATTTCAAAAGTCAAATATATTTACATCAAGTTCCTGGTGGTTAAAGATAAATTTAAAAATATACAAGTTTCTATTGAACGTTAAGGAAATGACTAATGCTAGCTTATCCATTGGCCAAAGGTTTAAGACCTAAAGTTTTGATGAGCATATTGCTCGCCTGAGTGTTATTTCAGATGAAACCTTGGTTAAGTGGGAGTCATTTATGAATGTTCAATAGATTATGACTAAATTAATCTCTAGAGAATAAAGTGATGGTTTTCTGGAGTCTATTTTGAATTTAAAGTGCCTTCAGTTATACAGTGGTCACATTGTATGAAGGAATTTCAGTTGATCTCAATAAGGACTAAAGTAGGACCAGATGAAAATAGGCATGTTTCAAGATCACATTGCATGTAATTTTCATGCCACTCATCCATATTTGATCTATGTCATTGAGTGTATTGGTGTTGTGATCATGGTGGTTTAATCATTATCATATCGTAATTAAAGCCGCGTTGGTTCCACAGTTGATACATGAGGTGGACCAGATTGTTAAGGAGTAGGCATTGTACGAATAGCATATGGTTGCGTGCCTAAAGAATTTTGTAATATACGTGTGTGAAAATTTGATAGCTCAAGTGGGAGATTTTTAGGAAATTATTTCCTAACTTATTTGGGCCATAAATTTACAAACACACTATATTTGTTATTTGCTTAGATGGGGTAAATTAAGTGATCTATTTAATGTGGCTCATGACTACTCAAGCCCAATATGGGTCCAATGGGTGGAAACCAATACTTGATCACCTTGGGTTTTATGGGAGCCCATGGTGAACTAGTATATAAGGAGCTTGAGGTTGTGGTCCCCAATACACCAAGACCAAACAATCTCATCTTCTCCTTATCAGGAAGATGAGAGCTCTCTCGTAAAGGAACCGAGGCGGCTTGGTTGAGGAAGACTACAAAAACCTCTCGGGTCGTGCTGTTACCAGTATCGTCCGGTCAAAGATTATTCACGGGTTTCCGCATCAAGATCGAGATGATCTACAATGAATCCAGGTATTCCTATAACCTTTGATAATCTGACAAGATGTATTCCGGGGAATTACATAGGCTAAAGTTTAATTCTAACACAAGGGACGAAAGTGACGTTATTCAACGACTCCAGCGGACTTGGGTCCCCGACGAGAAATTCACCGTCTTGAAACCAACGGTGAAGAAGGTTATCTAGATGCACCCGCCGAATTACCAAGGAATCTCTTCTTCCTCGAATCAACTATTCTAGCTTCAATAATTTGCTTCCGCCTTCCGATCTGGAAACCCACTTCTGCATATCCGTCCTAAAACTATGGTTGACTAGAGGTGAGCTTCCACTATTCCACAACGATCTCAAGTCTTCGATCTCCTCGCGTCTCACTTTCCTTCTCTAATTCCTGCTCTAGAAGCTCATACTCATCATCCAGACTTAGCGGGCGTGCATTCCGGGCAGGGTATGGAGGTGGCTGGTGGGTGTTTTGACGCCAATGTAAGGGAGGAGGAAGGGGAGGCGGACAAGGACAAGGGTTTTGTGTAAGGGTGGGGTTGGTATAGAATTAGGATTTTTGATTAGGCTGTCCGGTTCAATTGGATTTGGTCATTAAAATTTTTATTAATATTCTAAGTGATATAGTGTGCTGACTGGACGAAACTAACGGTTTTTTGGATGGAGAGGGACGGAATGACCATTTCGTTATTCTCTCAAACGTAAGTTACTGAAACGTACAAAATTAAAAGTTTGTAACCGTTTACGTGAATAGGTTTGTGAACTTTTATACTAATTATCCCAGATTACCCAGTGACGTTTTGAGTTTTGTTTGCAGGCATCCTTCGCGGCTTCGCCCCTTCGCCAACCCTACCCTGCAGGCTGCAGCGCAGTCAGAGAATTAGAGCTTCGTCAAAATCTACCCTGCAACTCTTTTGGACCCGAATAGAGGGCTTAGTCGGTTAGCCTTGAGCTCCTTATGTAGGGGACGAAGACAAAACACTTCTGGACCCAGAGAATCGGGCCCGGTGGACTGGGTCTGGCCAATTTAAGGGCATCATGGACTGACGGCCCGGGATTAATTAGGTGGATAGGTGGCTTTCGCAGCAACTTTTGGTCGTCTCCATTTACAATTTTTTAGGGCTTTTCTCTCTGTCTCAACTCGACTCTCAAATCATTGAATTTCACCTACTAGCACGAGCTCTAAAACGGGAACGAGAGAAAGTTAGAAACCATCCCAACGGAGAAATTGGAGCCAATGTGATTGGTTCATTTCAGAGAATATTCATACAACAAATTCCAAAAAAAGACCTCCCCACACAGTCGAAGTGTCGAACCGAGAGAGCCGCTCTGTTTCTTCCTCGTCGCAACTATGCCAGAACTCGCCAAGCTCTACTCGATGCAGGAAGCCTCCGAGCACACCTCCAAGGAAGATTGTTGGATCGTCATTGATGGGAAGGTGCTTCTCTCTCTCTATCTCTGTATCTCGTATCTCCTCCCGTATTTCATATGACTAGGTTTTGGGGAGGGTCTGTTTGTTGACTTCGCGTTTAATGGTTTCACGCATTGGTTCGTCCGATTCCTATCTTGCTATTGTTTGAGCTCCCACCAATTTCTGAGTATGGGGTTTCCTCCCTATTCTCAACTGGGTTGCAGCTGGAACTTCTTTTTTGTGCTTGTTTTGGTTATGCTGGTTTGGCTTTGAAGCTCGAATTGTTGGGTTCTGGTGAAATTGTGCATTTCTGCCTTTTGGAAAGTTGAGAATAAGAAATGTTAGGTTTAGGGGAACCCTGAAGAAGAAAGCATGGGGTGGGTTTACTCCCTGAATCTCTACTCTCTTTCTTAAATAGGGAATTGTGGGTAGATTCTCTTTTTTCACTTTTCCATCTTTCTTGACCGGAGATCCCTGGCTCTTGTTGACATCAATGGTGTAATTTAAGATCTTCTAACTACGACTCTGCACTCCTAGTTGGAGTTCAATGAATTCAAGTTGTCTATTTGAAATGAATAAGATGAAACACTGACTATTGTGCTAGTGAGCTGATCGGTGGTGTTTAAATTGGTTGTTAGCTGCAAAAGCTTCAATATCTGAACTTTCTTTGTTACCTTGCTGTAGTTTGACTTCTGACATAATATGCATGAATTAGAGCAAGCTGAAGTTGGTAGTTGCCTCTTTATTTCAACCTTTTTTTACCTCGAAATGCCCGCCTCAACCCCTTTACACCTTCGCCCACCATATTTGACTTGTGGCTCCAACTAGGTCTTCCTCTACCATTGACCAAAGAAAGAACCGTTGGGGAAAGGGACTCGGAAAAGGATGATGGTGGGGCTAGAAGAAGAATAGGATGGATAAATAAATTTATAAAAAAATAATTAAAATATGATGTAGCGTCCACGTAGCATGGCATGTCGAGTTATCGCTGACGTGTGTGTTAAGATGACATCCTCGTCAGCTTCTTGTTAATATAATTGACATTATCTCTAATGGCGTTAAAAAAATTTAATGCAAATGATGAAATTTATCAAACATGATTCCAAAATATAGACATTTTGTTTATTTTTTCATATTTGACTATTAATGTCACAAAATAGATAAATATAGATGTGCAAGTGAATTTTGTTAATTCCACCGGATAATATTTTGTATTCGCCAAGTCAAATTAGTCTAATCAGCATCTAAAATTAATTCGTTAAATTTTTAGATGAAATTAGACATTTGTATTTCCTGGTAAATTGCCTATTGTTGACACAAGTGGATATTTTGTCAAATTTGGGCACAGTTCCTCATTAATCATTAATGAGATTCTTGCTCCAAATGAACCATAGACTTCGTACTTGTTTGTAAATAGTTCTAATTTTAAGGACCTATTTGGTTATTTCTAACTGGAGACGAGGGAAGATGATGAGCAGAAGTGAGCCGTGGCTGAAGTTCGAAATAGGCGAGGGAAGATGATGAGCAGAACTGAGCGGATTTGTGCTATAAACTGAGTTTTCAGCACCGGAGTGGCTGGCATGAGTCTTCCAGCACGGCTCGTCAGTCGAACTTGCCCTTCATTCATAATCAAATTGGAATGGCAAGAGTATCTTTTTTTGCTAAACGTGTTATCGGGGACCTTGCTTTCCTCGACTCTTCGCCCTTTGCCAGACTACTGGATTCTTGTGTTCGTCCAGGTCCTCGACAGATACCCTCCGTGTCCATGCGAGTATCATCAAGTCTCGGTTTGCATTCGAAGTTTTTATCCAGAATAAGCTCATTGAAGCGTATGGAAAGTGTGGTTGTGTGGGGGATGCTCGGAAACTATTCGATAGAATGCTCGTCAGAAATACTTTCACCTGGAACTCAATTGTGAGCACGTTATTGAAGTTGGGTTTCCTTGATGAGGGTGTGCGGTTATTTGAGGCTATTCCTCAGCCAGATCAGTGCTCATGGAATATAATGGTTGCTGGTTTTGCACAACATGATGAGCTCCAACAAGCTCTGGGTTATTTTGCTGGGATGCATAGGGAAACTTTCGTGGTTAATGAATATTCTTTCGGCAGTGGTCTAAGTGCTTGTGCAGGTCTGAAGGACCTTAAAATGGGTACCCAACTTCATGCTTTGGTCTTCAAATGTCACTACTATGTTGATGTATATATGGGTTCCGCTCTGGTTGATATGTATTCTAAATGTGGTGTTGTTGATTGTGCTCTGAAGGTTTTTGATGAGATGAAGGAAAGAAACATTGTTTCTTGGAATAGCTTGATCACTTGTTATGAGCAAAATGGTCCATCAAGGAAAGCTTTAGATGTGTTTGTTAGAATGATGGAGAGTTCCTTCGAACCAGATGAAGTTACTCTGGCTAGTGTTGTTAGTGCGTGTGCAACCTTGGCGGCATTGAAGCATGGTATGGAGATGCACACTCGTGTAGTGAAATCTTATAAATTGCGAGGTGACCTTATTCTAGGAAATGCATTGGTGGATATGTATGCAAAATGTGGTAAGATTAGTGAAGCTAGACGTGTTTTTTAAAGGATCCCTGTGAGGAATGTGGTGTCTGAAACATCTATGTTGAGTGGTTATGCTAAAGTTGCAAGTTTTAAATCTGCAAAACTTATATTCACAAAGATGATGGAAAGGAATGTGGTGTCCTGGAATGCTCTGATTGCAGGCTATACTCAGAATGATGAGAATGAGGAGGCGCTCAAACTCTTTTGTATGCTGAAACGGGAATCTATTTTCCCAACTCACTACACCTTTGGTAATTTACTGAATGCTTGTGCCAATCTCGCTGATTTGCAGGTTGGCCGGCAGGCCCATGCTCATGCTTTGAAGCATGGATTTGGGTTTCAATTTAATGAAGATCCAGATACTTTTGTCGGGAACTCACTCATAGACATGTACATGAAATGTGCATCGGTTGAAGAAGGTCGTCAGGTTTTCAGAAGCATGGTTGAAAAGGATGTTGTATCGTGGAATGCTATGATTGTAGGGTGTGCACAGAATGGGAATGGGCTAGAGGCTCTTGCTTTATTTAAAGAAATGCTTGTGTTTGAAGAGAAACCAGATCATGTCACTATGATCGGTGTCTTGTGTGCTTGCAGTCATGTAGGACTTGTTGAGGAGGGACGTCGCTACTTTCTCTCCATGACAAGGGACTATGGGTTGGTTCCCATGAAGGACCATTACACATGTATGGTAGACTTACTTGGTCGAGCAAGTCACCTAGATGAAGCCAAGAGTTCGATAGGGACAATGCCTGTAGAGCCCGATGCAGTTGTATGGGGTTCTTTGCTTGGTGCATGTAAAGTTAGTCGCAATATTACTCTAGGGAAGTATGTTGCAGAAAAACTTTTGGAGATTGATCCCACAAATTCTGCACCTTATGTTCTTCTTTCAAATATGTATGTCGAGCATGGCAAATGAGGGGATGTTCGAAAAGTGAGAAACATGATGAGACATCATGGAGTTATTAAACAGCCCGGTTACAGTTGGATTGAGATCATGGGTGACATGCATACTTTCATGGTGAAAGATAAAAGGCATCCACAGAAGAGGGAGATTTTTTCAATGTTAAAAGACTAAACTGAGCAGATGAAGCTAGCTGGATATATTCCATCAATGGTTTAACGTCCACAACTTGACTTCTCCATCGAAGGTCTGACTATTCATTATCTTAAATGTATTAGATTTGCAGATTTTCTTTGTGACGTTGTTTGATTGAAAAATCTTACTGTTAATATTTCAGCTGGTGTTCGAAAAGTATTCATTCCAACAAATATGTGGCTCATTGGGGTTGCTAGCAAAGGTGAGTCGATAATGTTCTGTGTGTTTCATTCCTACTGAACATACAGCTCATGGTTATTAGCATTCTTATTTATCTCACAGAAATGTTATCTCTATAATATGGCAGTAACAACATCATGGCTTGGATATTGTTGTATTGCCTATGTTTTTCGTTTGTTACTGCATACCACAGGTAACTTGCCACACTGGTTCTTCTACATTGACCTGTGACCATACATTGTTAGATAAGATTAGGACCCATTGATATCTTATGCTTCTGCAGTTCGGAACAATATATTTTCTTTTGTCAGGGCTTTGGTTACTATGTCGTCTCTTCTAGCTTCTCTTTCTCTTTTATCGATTTATACATGTTGAACTATTTGTTGGAGGATTTTCAATCTTGTGGAGCACTGTTCTATGTGATGTACTCAATCTTAGTAAGCGAATTGTACTATGAGATGAAATCAATGTTACTAGGTGACTTAAGTAGGTATATTATCATATTATGTAGCATCAGTATCTTTTGGTTTTATGCCTGCTTTATTTTTTATTATTTCATGCCTTCTATTTGCACTTTTATAACATTAATTGTTTGTCTATACATATATTTAGTGATTTTGTTCGTATGTGTAATCTATCTGATCGTACTCTCTGGAATATTTACATATATGTTGTGATACCTCCGTTTTTGCATTATATTCCTTGTTCTGATGTATTATGCTAATATCATTTGAGTGACAAGTGGAGTGGTTTACTTTCCCGAAAAAGAGAAGTACAGAGTGATTTGTGTTATTATGCATGTAGTTTGTCAGTCCCTATCAGAATGTGATTGATCCTTGGGAGAAGTTCCCTTGAAGTATAGTTGGGTTCATACAGCCCAAAAAGTTACTTTTAAAGTTGCTACTGATCTTACATTGCATTACATCTAAGGTGCCTAATTTTGCAGCTGATTATTTAGCTAATAGGGGTCACTTTGTGGTTATAAGTTCTTCGTGTATATTCTTATCCATGAAAGCCTGGTCTAATGGGTACCAAAGAATTCAATGAGCTTTACTAGGTTGGTGCAGATGTGCTCCTTTAGGACACATTTAAATGGTCTGGATGTTTTGTCTGGTTGATCTGGTGTTAACATAATGGACGAATCACACTTGATACTTGGGGACTTGGCCCCTTTTGATGAATATAATATACATTGGCTTGCCTTAAAACATTTTTATTTGTTCAATCACGAACCTTTTGGCTTCATTAACTAAAAAAATGCAATATCTCTATCATCAATGTACTATATCCATGTCATGAGTCATGACTATTAATCTGGCACTTATACATGATGTTTCCTTCTTGCACGATTATGCTCCATGTCGTGCAATGGTTATGGCAAATATTGGAAAGTTTTGAACTGGCACATCTTGTTGGTGTCATCGTCACTTGGTCAGTGGCTTGTTTATTTTCTTTCTACTGTTTGGGATTGCAAGTACATTTGGCTTTTTAGTTGAACAATACATTTATAAGGTTTACTTGATCATGGCCTTCTCAAAGATGAGTTAATAGGAAAATTTGTTAAGTCGCAACTCGCAACTAAGCTGAATCAGTTGGCCAGCATTTTTTCAATAGTTCTAATGCTTGTGCAAAATTATCTCTACAAGAAAAGGAATCTCAATCTGCTGCTGCAAATTCCACAGGAGTAGCTGTGTCAGATATTGCATCCTTGGATCCCTGAAAGGGGCTCAAAGTCGTCTCTAGTAATCTTATCCTCAGTGGAACTCCTGGGGGTGAGTGACGATAAATTTTAACTGGATATATTGTTTGAACTTTTAAAGATGCCATTATGAGCACTTATACTTCCACCGTGCAACTTTTGAGTTTTGGCAGATTTTCTTCTGCTGTTTCATCCCATTTGTTCAACTTGATGGAGCTCATACCGAAGTGAATTCTCTTCATAATCAGCTCTATTTTTGCAGAGAGGTAGTGCTCATAAAGGATCCCCTCTCCATAAGTGCCCTGGCTGTTTTGGGACATTCTCTTCTACTAGAAGGAGAGTGCAGAGTCTTTCTCTTATATTATTGTTTGTGTTCCAAAAGTAACAAAACAGATTGAGCTCTTACACTTGCATCTCAATGTGCTGACGTTGACAATTTAGAGCTGTCCAATTACTCGCATTACTTGTCCATGTGGTAAACTACTTGCTTTGTTGCTTCTCAACATGCTTACCTGTGATTTTTTTGGTAGAAAGAAGACGCTGTCTTACCTTTGTTCCTGATCATATGGGATTCTGGGACCCCAATAACTTCATATTTTGTCCTTTGTCCTTGGTGAGCAAATCTTCTGAGAATTTCCCTCCCCCGGTAAGTATGATAGCTCACTGACTTCCCTGTCTATCTTCAGCAGGTCTCAGAATTGCAGCCTGATATCTGTGTATCTGTGACCGTCTCTCGTCGCACCTGTTTGCCTCAGTTCAACCTTTTCATCCCCCAGTTCCCAAGCTTCAGTGAGGCCTTTGGGAGCTCCTCTAATCTCTTCATCAGATATGCCGCATGTCCAAAGAGATTTGCAAGGAATGATGCCCAACTTTTAACTATATCGCTCTAATGATTCCAGCTGCTGCAACAGACCGATTATTGGACAGCCAACCTGCCCGAGTTAACTGCAACCCAGTCGAGAAACTACTGCCGAATGGTGAGAGCATAGAACTCGAGGTGCTTAGCTGGTGGTATTGTTTCCTCCATACTTCAGTCACAACGCTGCAAACCCTTGGTACATGGAGCCTGTGCTCAAGTACATAAGACAGAATGGCAAGATCCATCATTCGTCAAGTTTCTTCCCCTCCGTTATTCACTTGTGAGTAGCCTGCTATGTTTCGAAAGCCATCAGAAGTGCTTCCCACAATTGGTGCCCTCCTGTTTCCAGATGGTCTTCCGCGACAGATGATCAGGGTTTAGGCAGTGGGGTAAGAAGCCTGCATAGCAATGCCACCAAGGTAGGGGTGGGCAACTGGTTCTGTAATCCCGAACCAAATCGAAACCAAATAATGCTATTTGGTTCGAAATTCGAAAGGGAAATATGGATGTTTCGGAAATCAGGGTTCTTTAACCGAACCAAATTTCCGATAGAAAAACCTAATTACTATAATTGCAAACTCTAAATGGTGAATTTTTATGTTTGTAGTTGTTTTTAGACTTAAATATTTGAATCATGTTAGTGTTTTATGACTTATGTATTGAAATGTTTGATTTTATAATTGATGATGCATATAATTGCATATTTATCATTTATATTAGGGGTGAAAAATAATTTAAAAAGGAGAAGATACAAGTAACCTCACAAATTCGGTTTTATGTGAAATTTCGAACCGAATTATAAATCGGTTTAGACCGATTGAACTGAATTATAATTTAGTTCGAATTCGGTTTGAGGTTTGGGGAAATTCTGGGACCCGGTATTCATAATTTTGGTACGGTTGAAACCGAACCGACCAAATTCCCACCCCTACACCAAGGCCTTCCTTAGCAGAAACATCTCGATGCATTCTGATGTATCCTTCCCCTCCTCATTGAGCTCCCCAAGGATTCTTCACCAACCAGTACTTCACTCCATGGTTTAATTCAGTCCTACACTCTTCTGTAAAATATCTCACTCTCGTTGAACTGGAAATGAGGAATCAGCTGCGTCTATTGCGACATAAACTGGTCGACTTGTTATAATGTTGAGCAATGCCAACTCACTATTGGCTGGCACATCTTCAAACTCCTTGATCAGCATTGGTTTCCTTCTTTGCTAGCGCGCTGCAGGATCCACCGGTAACATTTTTGGGGTAATTGATCTCGGTAGTCAAATCCTTCTTCCTTGGTATCACAATCAAACAATTCTTGCTCCAAAAGAGATACCAATTCCTCGGGATTGAGCTGAGTGATTCCTTCTAATGCCTCGACAATCGAAATGCCCAACAACTTCCTACCCCACAACTTTTCACTTTGTGTTCAGCTGCATCTCCTCACCTACTACACCCTTTACACTCTATTTGGTAAATGAGAGAGGTTGCAAATACAATTTTCAAACACTTGCACTTCTTTGGATACTAGGTAGACCCGCTCGCGTTGCTTCGCGATGAACGAACAATGTGAAACAATGATAGCAAAAAAATAAAGTAAAAAACAGGCGGCGAAATGGATAGAAGACGATAAAATGAATATTAAAGGCTCTTACCCAACCAAATCGTAATTCATTGTTTGGACTAAATTGCAACACTTAAAGTACACACCTTATTTGGCCGACTGCAATTTTGGCTAGTGGATAGTATCTAGGGATTTATGAGTTGGAATGATGCGAAAAACATCCTAAGTGACATATAATATATCGATATTCAAATAAGGCAATGCATGTAGCTATCGTCAACAACTCACTTGACAATCACCTTTTACACGTATCAAACAACATTGGATACACCAATATATAGAAACCAAGAAATCTATAAAAAAAGTGTATATGGATGAACGGGGATCAGTCATAGATTGAACTTCAGCTGGTGATAATTAAATTTCCTAGAAAGCAATTACAAAATTTAGTTAGAAATCCAACCCAAAAAGCTAGTCAAATGAACCGATCAAAAATAATATGGCATCCATAGACATAAATGGATAGCAGAGGGTAAGTTCCATGTATTAGCGATAAGTCTTTATTCATGTTGTCTTAAGTTTCCTTGTCCTACATGAACCTCTTACATTGTGGCTATAAATGCCCCTTCTCAATGTCAATACAAACACACGATTCACATTCCCTACAGCTTTGACCCCGAAACCCTAGCTCTTCGTTGCAGCCTAGAAGTTCGGCGCCCATGATCAGCGTCGATTCTCCTGCTGTCCAACATGTCCGACAACAGCTCGGTCACGTCAATACAAACAAACAATTCATATTCTTTACACCACGGAGCCAACAACTGGCCGCAAAAACAACGGATTGAAACACTATAGCAATTCAACTTACAGAATGAGTAGGAGTAACTATCATGAACATGTGTATATATATGTAAGGCAACATCTTACTAATCAAAAAGAATTTGAGTTTCACCAAACTAACACGCTTTGGCTCTAGGACTAAGTTATAAAAAACACAACTTAACAATTTATAAACGGTGATTGAAATCCAATATATGCACCATCGCCACCCCGTTCCACTGCCACAGCGCCACTTCCCATTAAATCGAAAGCCAAATGAAAATCGATCTGTAAACCAAAACCGGTAGGTAGATATTAAAACTAATTAAACCAAAATACAAGTGCACAGGCCCACACCATTTCTTAGAGTCGAAAAACATTAAGCTGTAAAAACTACTAAAGATCCATACAAATAAAAAAAAACCAAACATTTCCTCACTCAACCTTTTATGTGCCACATAAATAGTTAAATACCTGTAGAATCTTAAAAATTCAATCATTGAGAGCTGCTCTATATTTTAAAATAAAACCTCAAGTACCGTAGAGGGCAGCTGAAGGCAACATTTGAGAGAGTTAAGAACTGAATTGAGCAGCAAAATGAAGAGAAGCTCCAATCTCATATTGGGACATAAAAGAGGCAAAAGCCGATCATATCAATGCTACTGTGGCAAAAATGGAACATCTATGCAACGCGGGAAAGAAGCGGTTGTAAGCGAACAAACCGGAACGCAACTAAAGTATTATTTGTAGATACCAAAAGCTTCTATAAACGTTAAATAATTGGGAGTACACATACCTGAAAGTTTGATAAGGGATTACTTGGAAGGCAAAATCAAATCACAACCAACCCCATCGTGGAATAGGCCCTCAGCACCACCCGTCCCCCTGTTGTCGCTCTTGATCCTAGTGTTAATGACCTCTCTTGCACCGGGCTGAGTGAAGATTCTCTATCCCACAGATGATCCACCTATATAATATGGAACAATCAGCATACACAATCCAATTTATTAACACTATCAAGAAATGTTGAAGGCGATGAGTTATAGCTCTTATCTTAATAAACTCGATTTCTTAATTTTCACTACATAATAGCTAAACAGGTTACTTAATGAGTAAGCTTGCCTCGAACACAACACAAACAATTTAAAATAAATGAGAGACATATAAACAAAGTAAGATAAACTGATAGGCAAAAGAACAGGATTAACCACGTGGATGTTAGGCACAACACGATCTAAGAAGCTAGGCAGACTAAAAACTTCACCCACAACTGTAACTATCTCCACAAACTTGCCTATGATGAATCACTGGGCAACAAAATGTTAGAGGACTGAATCAATGTATAAGAACCCTATGAATCTGCGGGTTCTTGTTGAAAACAAAGCTGGAAATCAGTTATGTGCAGGCAAGCATGACAACCAATTCTAGGCTCGCATCCATATCACAGAAGAACAAAATATACGAATATGGGCACCTCTTTTACCTGCTTTCTTTCTTAGCTTCTTCACAATGATTCCCATGACGAAAGCATTCCATCTTTGTCGACAATGTAAGAGTAACAAAAGGAAACAAAAACGATTCAAATGAGAATGGTAAAAAAATCGAAACCCCTGAGCAGCCAAAACAATGAACGAAAACCAAAACAGAGCAAACCAAGATTTTGAAGCAATTTAGCTGCTGACTTAACCTCTCCCACTGAGTTTAAGAGAGTTAAGGATCCTGGTGTAATCTTCTAATCTTCCTTCCCATCAAACCCAAAACTCAGCTCTCATGTGGCAGTAGGATTCAAGAAAGGATGAAACCAACCACACATAGAGAGATCCTATGTAGACAGGCGGAACCAGCTAATATTAAGTAAAAATAAAATAAATTCATAAAGACGTAAAGCCGACTGAACTTAACATTCAACATAACCTAACATTCACGTGTGTACTGAGAGATGGAAACAAAGATTACAGAGACCCTACTGAAACACAACATACAGTGTCATGGTCTGCCTTTAATGAAAAGAATTGCAGAATAAACCAAGTCTAATCGTAGAGCTCTCTTTACCATAGTGCAGCAACCATAAGTTGCCTTAAATATACAAAGGTTATCGGTATTTGTTTCAGCAACCTGTTTGAACTCGTATATGTCAATGTTTCATTTGGAGAAAAGCAAAGTAACTGTAACCAAAAATATAGAATGAGCAACACATCACAGGAAAGGGAAACACGAATCTCAAGTCGAACAGTGTCAAAGAAGCATGATGCAAAAGCATAGCATGCGAGTGTCCTCTAACCGGATTAAAAATAAAGCAGAGCAAACACAGTGACATTCATTATGTGTTAGCTAGCTAGATGAACCGGATTAGAATAACTTGCTGCCACGTACAGAGAGGTAATAAATAGAAGTTCTAAGTTAAAACCTCCAAACTAATCGGCAAGAGGGGACACAATAGAGCCAAGAAAGGAAGAAATCCAAAGCAATGACATCATGGAATTGGAGACAAATTATAGCAGACCTACTCTCCACCGAGGAATTAAATTTTGGCAAATGGACAACTATGATATGAGAAGCATATAATTGCAAAGGGTTCCGGAGACCCAAATAAATTAGATAACATACTTACTGAATTGCACAGAATAACTTAGCACATATAAAAGCATGTTATTACTCCCCCAGTTTGTTCATTCCATTCTACCATTAGACGATATCTTTTATTTATTAGCCTATTTCTCTGACTCCGTCCCTTTCGAGCTTGCTGCTGAACTGCAGCATCACAGAAGTCCTGTAACATAAAACCTGTAGCATTAGATGGACGCATAGTTTTGATTTCATATTGCTTAGACCATGAAACTATATACAAAGTTCATGATTAAATGCAAATACACCAAGCGAGATTACACAGGAACTAAATCTCAGGATCTGATCAAGATATGAACTTAATTGATAGGTAAGGAATGAAGGGAACTGATACCATAAAAATACATTGGATTTGCAAAGAGAAGTTTAAAATCGAAGAACAAAACTGCAGCAAAGTTTAACCTAAGTTCTATCAATTTACAACAAATAGGGCACAGGCTGAACAACAGCATAAGTGCATGACCCTGAGGCCTTTAGGTGCATGATAGGCTGATAAGAACAACTCAACAACAACCGACGATCAAGAGGGAAAATGAACACATTGGAGTTCAGTTTGAGGAAATTTCGAAAGGTATTTATCGCAAGAAATGCAATATGTGTTTCCGTAGAACTGTACGGATAAATCAGCAAAGGACAACCCCAAGAAGGAAGTAAAATTGATTTGGCACATCAAATTTCATAAGCAGGATCGAGTGAATTTTAGTAAAACAGAACAGTTTATGAAAAGGGCGTGGACATAACAAAAGAGTTTGCATTAAGGAGCTGACCTTGTCACTAAATTGCAAGCATAAGAGGGATCTGATCAGCTTCTTGCTGCAGATTGGTCCTGTTTCTCTATGTAGACATCTGCTGGCCTACACTCCTCCAATGGCTCAACTGGCATTGGTTCCATACCTGCAAAATATCACCAACTCAACTGAGTACTTTCACATAGACCCTATGAACCCAGCACAGGGAGCATGCGATCAAACACGGGAACAGAAAGTAAAATTCAAGGGAGCAACTTTGACTAATTAGACACAATGCTCAAGTTTGGTTAGATATACAGTTTAAAGCAGGCAAAAGCTGTAATTTCTAGCTAGAACCAGTAAAATAAAGAGACAGAAAGCGATTACCTGCAACGGACAGTTACGGTGTTGGCAGAGGCAAAAAATCCTCATCTCTCTGTTACCCGTCATCCTCCCTGGCCATTAATGTTGTCTCCCCGTCGACGCTTGACATTTCCATAGAAGGGGGCTGAAGAGACCCACCCCAAGCCGACTTATCACTCCTCGGTTGGAAGGATGCAAAGGGAAAATATAGTTACACCTACAACTGAAAAGAAAAAAACCCCATTCACTTTTCATCCCCTGTGATGGATTCATAGAAATATGCAACATCAATGGCTAACATTGATGAGAACTTTAATGAAAATGCATTCTACTCAAGTCCCCTCATTTGCATCACCCTAGTTATATGACTGTATGCACGTAATGAACAGAACGATACAACCTCAAGTACTGAAATAATCAATCCCCAACACCTTTGTCCGTGTGATTTCCAAAGTCTTTGTCATTTAAGAAGTAAAAAAATATACAGCTCAGCCTACTGGAGACGCAAAACAGTATGCAAGAAGTTTTCAAGTAGTGATATCCCCCGCTAAAATGCATAGGGTTCAGGGGAAAACAACAAAAATGAAAGGAATCCCCATTCTCCCCACGCCCCATAGCATGTTAATGGAGACTCACCTGATGGTCCAACCGAGCAAGAGTACCAACTCGACTTGATCTGTAAGGGAAACCAAACATAGGAATCTTAGCATAAAAGGATTTGGAGTCGAGGCTAGTCCGTGCTAAAACCAATAGAGTAAAAAGTATACTGTGTAGCGTGATAGGTGGAACTAATGACCAATCATAAAAAAAAAGTATTCAAGACCTCTAAACCATCTACGCAAAGAGAAGAAAACTAAACTAAAAACAGAAGAAATAGAGAGAGGAGATCACCAACACCAAAGCTTTCATGGTAGACTCAGCTGCTTCCTCCTTCTCCCTCAGGAATGTTCATCATTGACTTGTTATTGCAATATTGCAATCTATGAATCCATCTAAGAAAATCAGCGTCTAAGCAATGACCAAAACCCCAAAAGTAACGAAAGAATGAACAGAATCAAAGGTAGAAACTCACAAGCTAAGCAAGTCGCCGGCTGACAATCCTTCTCCCCAGGCAAGTTCAGCGTCAACATGTTTTTGAGGCCGATGAATCAACCGAGAAAAGCAGTAAGAGTGGAAGCTAATTTCGGGAAAACGAAAACCCATATGGCTGAAAACATACAGAACCACTCCACAAAAAGGAGTCATGAAGGAAAAAAACAGAACCAAAACCCAAAAAAACCTTACGCAAAGAGCAGTGGGTAGCCCTCGTTGGCTCTGCTGCCTTTGGAAATCTACATTGGCAGCAGCTCCTCCATTATCCTGGCCAGTATCCGAACTCGAAAAGCTAAAAAGAATAAGTCCAATTAGATTAGCAAGAAAGCACTCCTTAAAAATTCAAACATGTCAAAACCGAAAAAGGAAATAAATCCACAAAAACAACTTACCACCTTGGTCGCGGTTGACAGCAGTCCCACCGCCGGCGACATGGCATGTTTCTTCTGGCATGAGTGTAGACGAATCACTTCCTTCTTCCTGATCGAAAACCCATGAATAAAAGATGACAAGAAGTAAGAATTAAAACCAAACAAAAAATCCAAAAAAGGACAATATGCAACAAAAAAAAAAATGATCGTCACTCGTTGCTGGGACCATTACCGACGTCCATTGCCGATGAAGCCTTCCCATCCCTTCATCGATCCAGAAGGACGTTCTAACCAAGGAAGAGAACAAAGAAAAACAGAAAAATAAACGAACAGATTCGGAGAAATAAGATCGGCGTTAAGAACTCACGATCTAGCCAACCAGGCGTCGAATGACTCTCCTTCCTTGGCAAGTTTGGCGCTTCATGACCAATTTCGAAGAGTTGAGATTGCAGAGCGAGAAAAAGACAACGTCAGAGAGAAGAGAGAAGGAGAGCACAAGTGAGATGGGGTGGGGGTTCCTTCTTCTCCTGGTTCTTCTGCTTCCTGCGTCTTCTTCTTCTTCCTATTCTTCCCTTTTTTTTTTTTGGTTCTTGTACAGAGAGAGGGAGAAAGAATAAAAGTAACAAGTGGGTTGTTGGTTTCTGCAGAAGGAAAAGAAAGAGAGAAGAAAAGTTGTGTGGCTGGGAAGAGGGATGGGATGGAAAAGCAAAAAAAATATCTGTAAAATTTCCAAACAAGCACCCAAAGTTTCTTTCAATTTCGAAATAGGCACTTGTTTGATGTGACTCTACAACACAATACACATGTAGTTTATTTTTTTAAAAGCAAAATAAGTCACAGTGTTTGGATGTGACTCTAAGAAACAGTTCCAATTCTGCTTGTTCTTTTAAGAGTATAATAATAATAATAATATAATAATAATTGTATAAATAGTAGTAGCAGTAGAGGAGGAAGTGGAGTGCAAATGGACTATTCCTATCTCCTCTCAATTTGGGGTGCAAATAGGAGAAAAAGGGAATTAATGTGAAAATGCTATGATACGATTTTGATATTTGCGTTGAAAATCCAAGAGAGGAAGTGTCTCCAAGAAAAAGTGTGAGAAGAAGGCTAATTCAACCACTTTATCAAATGGATAAAATCAAGAGATTTTCAATGATTTTGATCGAGTGTGGGTGGTTATGGTCAAACCTGATTCAACCGATGAGTTAGATAATTGGTTTAACAATAATGCCTTGTTTTCACTTTATGCCCTCTTATTTTTTCTTTCCAAACAACAAAACAATTTGTCACTCAATTTTATACCCCTCAAATTTATGCACTTCAACTAATTTGCACCCCTCAAACTTACACCTTATGCAGGGTGGTAAACGGTAATCCGGTAAACAGTTTACCGTTTTACCGAACCGGTAACCGGCGGTTAACGGTAAACCGTTTACCGACGATATCGCCAGCCGAGCGGGAAGTTGGGGGAGTCGGTTTACCGGACACGGTATCGGTAAATACTGACGGTAAATCGGTAATACCGATACCGAAATCTCCCCTCCCCACTCCACTAACATATAACATATACATCATTATTCACAAATATAAAATATTACATACATGAATGTAAGTAAGTATAGGCATCAAAAATATTGTAAATAAGAGTTAATAATAAATTATTAATTACAAAAATGATAAAAAAAACTCAAAAAAATCAAAATATTACAACATCACCTCACTTCCAGAAATTCGGTTAGGTAAATATTCGGTAAACCGACCAAAAAACTGCCCGAAATCGCTTCTCACGGTATTTCGGTAATACCGGTTTGTAACCGTTTACCGGTAATTCGGTAATCGGTACACCGGTTACAAACCGGTATCGGTAATCGGTAACCAATTTGACCAACTTTTGTATACCGAAACCGATAAATTCGATAAACAATTTACCGTTTACCGACCGAATCCCACCCTATGGTGTGGCATTACTCGGGGAAGCGTCGTGGAGAAAGAAGACTTTGGATGAGAGCAGTGGTTCTCTTAATCTCTTTATGGGTGGACTGGACTGCATGAGCCGGTATATAATTAAAGACTAATCTATCTAGGTGATCCAAAAAATTTAGTGAGAGTGAAGAAAAAAAGGATTTTAAAGATTTGAATTCTGCTAGCCAGGCCTGAGATTATCAACTTATTTAAATTTTACATGTATTTTAAAAGATAGTTTGAAAGTTAATTAGAAAGATCACCTTACAGTGAAGAATTAACTCTGCAATTAAATTATCCATATTCATTTCAAAGCCCAAAACCCTATAAGAAAAGTACAAAAGTGTACCATCATGGCAATTGAACCCGAATCTATGAGTACCCAACTTGATACAACTAGGGATGTTAATGAGCCGAGCTATTCGTAAGCGGCTCGGTCTCGAACTCGATAAAAGGTCGTTCGATTAAAAAAAAACCTCGGTTCGTTAATAAATGAGCCGAGCTTGAGCTTTACCTTGTTCGGCTCGTGAAGCTCGTGAACTAGCTCGATTAGGTGGCTCGTTTAATACAACTCATGAACTGTCCCGTTTTGAGCTTATGATATGTCCCAACATTGTGAGTAGAGAGCTAACCGAGAAAATCAATCTATAGTTTATGAGTTGGTTTGTTAATGATGCATATAATTATTAAATTGTATATATCACCTCATATGGTGTTTAATACATTAAGTATATGTAAGCAAATACGTCTCATATATGACATAACATTAGGTACTCACTTGTATCACATATGACATATAAATATTAGGGTATTTATATTATAAATTATCTTAGAGTTAAGCTCGAGCCGAACTTTCATTCTTAACGATGTGTCAAGATTTAATAAATGAGCTGGCTCGTGTTCGACTCGACTCGGCTCGTTAATAAACGAGTCAGGCTCGAGCTCGGCTCGTTTATAAACGAGTCGAACATGAACAAGGCAAAACTCGACTCGGCTCGGCTCATTAATAGCCCTAGATACAACCCCGTCAAAGCGAGTAGAACTCATGTTGACGGGTTTTGGGTTGGGTACATGTTTTACTCGCTTTTGAAATTGGCGAGCTAGGTTGGATTTTGCCAAAATTCAACCCGCTTTTCACCCGTCCTAACACCATTTTGTATCTAATCGGAAAAAAATATGAATATTTTATGAATGCTATTACTCTTTATGTAAATATAAATCCAATAATACGGATAATTTATTGATGTTGATAGTCTTTATTGAGATATGTTTGCGGGGAAAAATTCGATAGCGATACAATATGGATAATTTATGGAATCCAATGATACCCATACACCCATGGATACTCGTTGGGTCGCTTATTTCTCAATTTCAATGGGTATTTAAAAAAATTATCGAGTGCACACACTAATTTTGATTTAAATTTAGATAAATCCAATCCAACTCAATTCATTACCAATTTACCATCATACATCTAAATGGAGACTGATGGAGGAAAAGGAAGGTGCTGGGGAATTGATTTTATTTCTTTCAGAAAAAGGATTTTGATTTTGGGATCCAAATTAAAGCAAGAGTTTCTTTCATGATGGTGGGTGGGAAATTATGGTGATGGTGGGGATTATGGAAGTGGGATTTTGTTTTCTTTTATAATAAATTAACAATGCAACCTGCAACAAATAATTCCATAACTCATTAAAAAAATTCTTTTTTTTAATGTTAAATAAATAATTCCATAATACATACCTTTTCTGTCTGTCTCCCTCATATTACTTATTATCAGTACTGATAAATTATTAGTTAATACTGTACTGTTATCTTATCCTTATTCTATCCATTCATTCTTGCAACACACCAAACAAAACATGTAATTGACAAATGACAAGTATGATGATTCTTATTGGCGCCCATCACTTCCAACATTGGTTTTTCTTCTTTTGTGTGCCCATATTTTTCTTACACTATGTTTGGCAACAAGGGGGGTGCAAGTTCGAGGGGGGTACAAGTTGAGGGGTAAATTGTTGGGGGGTGCAACTTGGTGGAGGGTGTAAGTGGAGGGGTAAATTGTTGTTTGGATGAAAAAGTAGGGGGGTGCAAATAGAGTAAAAAGTAAGTAATTATATTATTATAAAATAGATTTATCAATTTATAAAATATTATCACAAACATGAAAATTCAATATATAATAATAAAAATAATAAATAAAAATAATTTTAATAAAAATAATTATTATATAATAATGCTCAAATATAATTATTTATAACAACAATAATAATCATTGGTCGAGCAACCTCGAAACTCGAAATCCAACTCGTAACTGGTCATCCTAAGGGGGTTCTCGTGCCTAACTTTAAATTGAATATGGTCAAACTTAGTCAAACACGTTCGAATCTGTAAGTTTTAACTACTTATTAAAGTAAATCGAGTTAACTAAACTGTTCCTCTCTATCTTTTCAACAAATGCTTCTTATCTCTAATTTTCAATGCAAATTCGGGTCAACTAAGAGATATCGATTTGACGAGGCGAACATTGACAAACTTGCTCTCTGAGTCAAACGGTCAACCCCAAACAACTTCTACACTAATATAGATATAAGAAAAATTAATAATATTAATTATTATGTAATTATAGTATAATTAAAAATTCATAATTCCCCTCCTCCCCCTTCCCCCTCCCTTCCTTCCTTCCCTTGCACCCCAATTTGGGGGGTAAGCCGAAACAGTGAATTTACGCTCACGTTTTGCACCCACCTACTGTTACAAAATAACCAAACGGGGGTAAACACCTTGGAACTTGTGTTTACCCCTCCAAACTTGCACCCCCTTCCATTTACACCCCTTCCCAAACATAGTGTTACAGATCTCCCAAATCGGTGATGACAATCTGTCTATGGAATTCTGTCTTATGTCTAGCACGCTTAGGTGGTGCTTAGAAGTTTTAAGTGAAAATAGTGTTTCAATTTCAAATTATTAATAACTTAGCTAATCATAAAAACAGGCAAAATATGTTATAATTTGCTAGAATTATGATGGTGAATAATAAGGTAGAGGTTGGGTCGACTGGAGTTGGAGAAGAACGACAGAAATTGTTTCGAGAAGATTATATGCAATTTTTCTTAAGTGTTGGTTGGCAGCGCGCTTAAGCATGTCTCACTTTGATTAATCATACCTCACACCAATTAATCATGTCTACCTTTGGAGAGTAGTCGCATATGCATTATGTCACCTAATTGTTTGTCTAGGGTCTAGGCGAGGTGTTTGTCACTACCTAGCGCTTAGGTGCTTCTAGGCGTACTCGGAATTATGCTTTCTTGAACCTTGCTAATTTGTATTATTATTGATATCCATAAACCTTGAAATTTTGGTCTAAGTTGGACGGTATCATTAATGTTCTTTCCGACCAGACTAGTGCATCCACTTTTTATAAGAGTGAGTTAGATGCCGGTTTCGCGGGATACCCTCTAGAGTATAACTAGAAAACTATATTGCTGAATCGATGAACAATATATATAAGGAGGAGGAGGTTTTCAATCCCAACTCTAAAATTACTCTCGAGACATCAAATTTTGAATTTTAATTGGTAACATTAGTCTATTATGATGATATAACATAGGATCATCGCTAATCAATACATAACCCTAACCTCTAAAGCTTCAATTTTGAACCTTAACCCTATACTTCAAATTGTAAACCTTAAACCCTAAGTCCCTAAACTCTAAATCCTTCAAATCAAAGTAAATCTTGAATGATTTTTTTGCGAAAATTCACATGTTAGCTTGTCCATCTTATCAAAATTGATGATTTACATCGCTTTGTCACGAATCATCTACTCATAATGGCGATTATGAGACAAATAGCACTCACCAAAAAAAGTG